TATTTTAATCTTAGTCTTTATTATTTTTGGTTACCATTTTTTATTTTATTTTAGATTAAATAGGTCATATAGGATGATCCCATCTCTCTTTTCCCAAGTGATGGTTTGCTAATAGCAAGGTACAAACTAGTTTTCTGTAGCACAGTACTTGGCTATCAAGGTGCCATCTTCTAGAACTTTGTTGCTGTAGGGGTTGTTAAAGCTATGGAAGTTACTGTTTTACCCTCACTGGGACTGGGCTAGGGTGATAAAAAATTGCTCCATGTTTGTTCAGTATAGTCCTAATTTTTGCATTTGTATCTGAGGTTGAATAAGTTGTTTTCCTACGAGTGGTTTTTTTCTTTTAGTTTCCTGCTAAAAATAATGCATTATGATTAGTAATTATGCTCATAATTGTAAGAGTTCTACTGGTATTTATGCCATTTTATTTTGCTTTCCCTGAGAGAAGATAAGATTTGTTAACTTGCATATCTTTGACTGAAAATTAAGTTGAAAGATTGAAAGTTCAAATCTCACCGTACAGTTTGCACACTACATTGAACAGGCATCCCTTCATAGATTAGCATCAGTCATGACTGGAATGAATTTATTCTTTCCGAATGATGGAAATTGCATTGTCTGTAAATATGCTTTTAGTAGTGGGTTGAATTTCTCTAAAGAGCATAGCTAAATCTGAATAAGATGTTTAATCAAAAGATGTAATGATTAACATGGATTCTGATAGATTAGTGGCAGTGCAAAATTCTCCTAGTAGTTTGGGAAATCGTTTAAGCTACTGTTCAATTCACTCAAGGTGGAATGAGTGTGTTTGCTATTTTTGCTTTTTCACCTGTTCAGAGCTTAGCTTTAGGGTTTAGGGTTAAGTTTTCCTGTTTGGTGGGCCTTCAAATCATCCATTTAGTGCTTAGGGTATTGGGTTTAGCTCTCAGGTTATCGGCTACCATTCACAATAGTTAAACCATAAACTCCAAAGCGCTAACAAGCGATTCTACATCCTAAAGTAACAAATTGTTTTGAAACAAATTTAGTTTCCTGCTAAAAATAATGCATTATGATTAGTAATTATGCTCATAATTTTAAGAGTTCTACTGGTATTTATGGCATTTTATTTTGCTTTCCCTGAGAGAAGATAAGATTTGTTAACTTGCAGATCCTTGACTGAAAATTAAGTTGAAAGATTGAAAGTTCAAATCTCACCGTACAGTTTGCACACTAGATTGAACAGGCATCCCTTTATAGATTAGCATCGGTCATGACTGGAATGAATTTATTCTTTCCGAATGATGGAAATTGCATTGTCTGTAAATATGCTTTTAGTAGTGGGTTGAATTTCTCTAAAGAGCATAGCTAAATCTGAATAAGATGTTTAATCAAAAGATGTAATGATTAACATGGATTCTGATAGATTAGTGGCAGTGCAAAATTCTCCTAGTAGTTTGGGAAATCGTTTAAGCTACTGTTCAATTCACTCAAGGTGGAATGAGTGTGTTTGCTATTTTTGCTTTTTCACCTGTTCAGAGCTTAGCTTTAGGGTTTAGGGTTAAGTTTTCCTGTTTGGTGGGCCTTCAAATCATCCATTTAGTGCTTAGGGTATTGGGTTTAGCTCTCAGGTTATCGGCTACCATTCACAATAGTTAAACCATAAACTCCAAAGCGCTAACAAGCGATTCTACATCCTAAAGTAACAAATTGTTTTGAAACAAAAATTAAAGATGTAAAATGAAAACAGAAAGGAGACTTGAAAACAAAACGGACTGAGCAGCTGCTCAAGCCGCTTTCACAAAATTCAACATCAGCTCTAGCAGAATGATGTTGCACTGTAGATGATCCGTTCTTGAATGGTTGACTATATGTATGTATGTATGCATGTAGTTTCCTAATCTTTTTATGATTGAAGGCTTAGTCAGCTAGAAGTTAAATCAGAGTTGAAATGTTCTTTTAAGTGGTTGGTGGTGTGGCTCTTTTGAAATAGTTTCTATAAGAAAGAAGCATAGTACAATTTTACTTTATACAATGGTTAATGCTAGTTAAGGGAGAAATGTGCTTGATAACATTCAGATATTATGTGCAGGATTTGTAATGTGCACGTAAAACTGTGTGCATGTGTGTGTCAATGATCAGTGGCCCTAGCTTTGAGGTCCAGAGCTCTATATAGTTGCATGATGAATGTTTAATGCTTTTTTTAAGTTGAAGTTTTCTGGACATCATTATAATGTTGACATTCATCTAATCAATGATTAGCTATAATGTTGTCATTTTCATTTTGTTTTGGCCTGTCATGGAAGTATATATCAATTGATAAAAATCTTTCTTCCCTTGCAGTGTCAATCTTTGGTGGAAGAATTGTCGGCTTCTCACTTAACAGATCTGCAGCAGCGTGCATATGAATTGCAAGCTGTCATTAGCTTAGATGCTCCTGCGGTTGAGAGTATTATGCCGTCAGATGCAAGTTGTGAAGACATTGAGGTCATATTTAAATGCATTATCTACTCGTACCCTTCTTTTATTTGCTTCTCCTTTAAAGTATTAAGAACTATAGTAGTTCTGCATTTCTCTGTCTGAACCTCCTGTTTTCTAATGGTAAAGTCTAATGGTTGTTTAACCTTGTGATTGCATTAAGTTTGGTGACCCTTTTATTGTTATATGCCAAACGATATACTTTAACTTTAAAATGTATCTTTTGGAAAGCATGAGATATATCAAATAGAATCCTTGATGAATATAAATTAGGTATAAGGAAAGTGAACTAATGTATGTCTCATTAAAAAATGTAGTTGCCTTGCAAATTGTTCTAATAGGACGTACCACTTTTCCACACTGTGATAATGTAATTTCTCATATGGATACATTATCTTTGATATAACATAATTCAGTTTTTCAGATCATGATTGTGTTTGTGTTTCACAGATACGTTATTATGAATCATGACACAACATTAAATATTTTTAAAAGTGTATAGATCCAGAAGAATATTTTCCAAAATAGAAATACTATGACAAAGGAACATGTATCCTGACCGACCGTGAATGCAGTAGGAATAGCTTTGCTTGCTTCCTTGTCAAATATGCCCTGTAAATAGGCAATCTGACAATTACAAGGGCATTAGTGATATTTTTTAAATACTGAACACTCAGCCCCTATAAATAGGCAAGCAAATCATTAAATGAAGGACTTTTTTTGGTCCAAAAGAAAAAGGCCATTGTAAATGTTGACTGAAAAATAATCTGACTAGATACCTTATTCTGTTTAAGTAGAAAGATGTCATGTATTGTTTGGTTAATGCTGTTCTTGACCTTCCAATATTTTATTTGGTAAATTTTGAAAATGTGCTATGAATGTATATATGTATACAGTTATCAACTGCACAGGTTTTAATAGGGTCAGCAAATTATTGCTTTCCCTTCTTTTATCATTCTCGTGTATGTATGCATGCATGGATCAATGTGAAGATAATAATCTTCAGGATTCTAATTGTGATAATGTCAGTTATCATTATTAAATTGTATGTACATGGGTTTCTGAAGCCTTATTATTGCTTGACACTTAGTATGTATGCTCGTGCTGGAGGCACTAATTGTAAAAAAATATACAGAGATTGCTTTATTGTAGTGTTGGCTCATATAAACATGATGATATAGATCTTGTGTTTAGATCGAGAAAAATTCGGAATCAGTTTATGAATGATTAAAATTGCTTATTTGACCAACATGCATCATATTATACTGGCGAAACTTAATTTATGTAGCTGCCTTTGGTTGGTAATACCTGGATGTTAATCAAGTGATTCTAATTGGTATTACACGACATGCTTTAATTAGTTTCCCGACTTCTTCGTCCCTGGTCCTTGCATCTTATTTCTTCCCTTTAGTTATAAGTTGCTCTTTTCATGGAATTTGCAATTGTATTTCTCTAATATGCTTGAAAACCTTGATTTTGGATCATGCGGAAACCATTTATTTATCTATTTCTTGAATAAGATTATTTTGTGTAATATTAATATTCATCTTCTCTTGCAGATTGATAAAAGCCTTTCATTCCTCAATGGCTATGTCCAGCAAGCACTAGAGAAAGGTGCTCAGCCCTATATTCCTGAGAATGAGCGCTCTGGAATGTTAAATATCAGCATGAAGCTTTCCTGCACCATCTTATGCTAGGGGGAACCGCCAGCCTGCATCATTACCACCTGTGTCAGATGCAGGATCATCGGAACTTAAGTTACGACTAGATGGTGTTCAAAGAAAATGGGGCAGGCCAACATATTCCTCCCCAGCATTGTCGATCTCAAATTCCTCTAGTTCTAGTTCCCAGAAATCAGCGAATGGGGTCACACAAATAGATAGCGTGAGCACTTCAAATTCAAAAGCACGTGATACTTATGAGTCAAGGAGGCCCCAGGTTGAAATTTTTCCAGAAAAGCAGAAGCTTGCCAGTTCACTGTTTGGGGGATCATCAAAAACCGAGAGGAGGCCATCTTCTGCCAACCATAAGGTGTCTAAGGTGAATATCCATGCTTCAGAGAAGCCCCAGGTACCAAAGGCAGCAGCTGTACACACTGAAGTTAATCATGAACCTGCTCCAGACTTGCTCGATTTGGGTGATTCAACTAGTAGTACTGCTTCCACTGTAGATCCTTTCAAGCAGTTAGAAGGGCTTCTTGATCAAACTGAAGTTTCATTAACTGCAAATCATGGTGCAGCTGGTGCTGCTAAGACACCTGATATTGTGGGATTATATGCAGATACATCTCTCAGCGGGCTTAGTAGCAGTGTTGGCGACCCTATCGCTGCTCATCTAGCTTTTCATTTCACGTCCTTGCAGGATTATCAAAAAATCTTGAACAACTATACCAGCAACGTGAGTTGCAGCAACTAGACATGATTTAGACATGCTAGGATTCTTGTACCTTGCCAATATCAGCAACATTACTAGTGTAATGAGACACAATCTTTCAAAAAAATATTTTGGGCATATTTGGACGCCTGTTTACAATTAATGTCTGATTTTCAACAAACCTTGATTGGAAATTATGAAATAGAAAAATCTGTTACATTTCATCCCCAACATACATCAATTCCAATGAATGAGACAGAAGAATCATAGACAAAGTATACGTGTGGAATGAAAGCATTAGATAAATCCGGCTTGCTGTTTTGTTCATCTGCGGATAAATGCTGGATGCATCAATTGAGAAGAAAGGTATTGCCTTATGCAACTTAAAATGGAATCTCAGAAACTGCTGGCGCCTCAACACACCTCTTGATTACCAGACCATTGCCTGGAAATTTGGTTCGTATCGACAGCTGAACCTGGGGCTTACATAAACCACTTTGGAACTTCATTGCCTGAAAATTTAATATCGAATGTTGAGTGCTAAGAAAAATGATTTAACCCAAAACAAAAATAAATAAAAATTCACACCCTGAAAGCTACAACATATACCCAAGAGATGCACAACAAAATATTGCTAAATTTGAATTGAACACAAAATGTTGATATATGACCAGAAAATGCAAAGATATCATTCAACATTTAATGGATTTACATACCTTGGCTCCTCATTAAGATCAATGTGCCTCCTCTTTGGGTGATCCGCTGGTTCCGTAAACAAGGTAAGCCATTGAGCTTCCTGTGCACCAACATTAGCACGATGATCATCATAAAGTGCCATGAAATCTGATCCGCAAAGCCTCTTGCCAAGACTAGTCTTTGATGCTAAAGTCAAGGAAAGCAATTCGTTGTCTTGGTGTTGATCATCATGAATATCATCGTCCACTGCCATCGCATCAGGCAACAAACACTGCCTTTGCCCACGATCAACTGTGACATCAGCAACCTGGTGGCCTAATAGGTGGACCCCGCAGGGCATTTTAGCAACATCGTCATCGTCATCATAATCATCATCGTCATCATCATCATCATCATCGTCCACTGCCATCGCATCAGGCAACAAACACTGCCTTTGCCCACGATCAACTGTGACATCAGCAACCTGGTGGCCTAATAGGTGGACCCCGCAGAGGATTTTAACGGATGTGGGCATTTTCCAGAACTCAAATATAATTTGACACATATTACCCTGCTGCAACCGCGTCAGTTCTTCTCCCACACCTAACTCGCTCCGATTCAATAATGGAATACAATAAAGAGCCACGTGACTTTCCGTTACCTCATAAGATGTCGATTGGACCTTTTTTCTATTGATATGAACACTTGTCTCTGCCCCGCCGGGACCTGTTTTCAATAATGGACTTTCCGTTACCCCATATGCGTTTCCTTTATTAACAACAACACATAGAACCAATCTTAACGTCTCCCAATCTAAATTTGGAGGAATTTCAAAACTAACTTCGCATCGAGCAACAACCTTAGAAGAGTATTCGTCTTTAACTAGTGTCGCATCTTTACAACAGCTGAACCACTTTGGTACTTCATCGCCTGGAAGAGTAATTTGAAATTGAGAATCCGGATGAGAAGATACCTACAATACAATTGGTTACAACAATCATCATCTTAATGATATAACATAGAGGGAGAGACAGAGAGACACACAGAGAGAAGAGACAAAAACCTGATCCAGAATACTATTTTCTGTGATGTCATAGCCACGTAGTCCAACGCAATTGATCAAACTCAGATACTTATCCTCAACCTCCGATGGCAAATTTGGAATTTTACCCAATGATGTGCAGTCATCCAGGTATACCGTATCTAAACTTGGTGGAAGCACTTTTTGTGGAATTTCTAGTAGATACTTGCAATCACACAAGTCAAGCTCGTTCAAGCTCACAAATTTGCTAATGCATTCCGGAAGCGTGACAAAATTGATTCCAGCTAGACGAAGTTCTTGTAATGTGGACCAGCAATAAAGCAGCCGTAATTCAAACCCAGTAAGATTGAAGCATCCACTAAGATTCAATGATTGAAGCCCAGTAAGATATGAAATTGATAGAGGCAATTCTCTTATGCCACTTTCTTGCATATTCAATCTCCATAGTGATTCCATCTCGACTTCTATTTCTGGGAAACTCTCAAGCCTTTTGCAATTTCTAAGATCAAGTTCTTCAAGAGATTTCAATCTAAGTCTTGTTCCAAACCTCGTAAGCTTAACGCATTCACTGAGATCCAATTTAACAAGTTTATCAAGGAGTCCAACAGAATCATCAACCTCAACCAAACTTGTACAACCACTTAGATTCAAGTCCTTTATGTTTGGGATTCCGGATAAGTCTGGGATTTTTTCTAAGAATTGACAACCACTCAAATTCATATGTGTCAGGTTTGGCAAATGCTGTGAGACAAAGAACACAAAAACAGGAAATAATTAATCACACGCTTCAAAAGACAAAAACTTAGAAAACAATTTTCGTTTTTTTTCCATCTGAAATTAACAACTGTATTTGAAATTATATATTATAGATGAAAATAATTTCAAATACATACCTTAAATCCCTCCAATTGTCTGATATGACTGCGAGACATTTTGAACTTAACAAGATGATTTCCTTGAAAATTGGGTGGCAAAGATTGTAACTGATATCCATCCCAATCAATCCATCTTAACACGTTGGGCAGATAGTTAATGTCCCCACATAGAGATGCATTATGGTTTATAAAAATTTTAAGATTCACCATATTACGGAAGCATTCTGGATTCAAAGTTATCTTAGCTGCTTTCGGAAGCTTCACCATGATGCCTTTAATATTTCTTGTTCCCTGATATGGAAAAGCATTAATTAGGAAACGAAGTCATTGTACAAACCAAAATGCAAGCACATTTTGTTAAGAAAATTAAAGTAGCATAAGGTATTCTTTCTTGTCAAATTGAATATAATAACACATGTGATACTTACTGTACTTTCCATTAGAACTTGTATGACATCCTCGTAAAACCACAATCTACTACGCTGGCCAGGATCATTGGGGGATTCTTTGTGAACTATATCCTTGCCCAAGTTTGCTAGCAAGTCGTGCATTAAAATCATTCTCCCTTCAATAGTTATCAATGCCTTATCAACGAATTCTTCAATGAATATTTTGGGTACTATTCGTAGCACATAGTCCTCATATTCACCTTTAAAGAAACATGCAATGTCAAGAAAATATTCTTTTGCGCGATGATCCAAGGCATCATAACTTTTTTGAAGTATTCTTTCAATATGGGTATAAGGTTCTCCTTCGTAACCATTTAATGTATCTTGCCAAAGTCGTATATCTGTACCACGAAGATGAGAACCTAAAATTTTTAGAGCTAGTGGAAGGCCATCAGCAAAAGCTATTGCACGTTGTGCGAGTTTCAAATAATCTTTTGGAGGTTCACTTCTTCGGAATGCATGCCAACTGAAAAGCTCAAGAGCTTGGTTGCAATCTAACTTCTTCACCTCGTATATCAACTCAATTTCACGATTGTTTAGCAATCTCCTATTTTTTGTAGTAATGATTACTCTACTACCGTCACCAAACCAATCATCTCCAGCCAAGTTTTCTAACTGCTCCAATTGGTCCACATCGTCAAGAATTAATAGAATCTTTTTATGCCTCAGCCGTTCTTTTATAACACCGATTCCTTCATCAACATTGCCAATTTTCAAATTTTTGCCTAGAATCTTATCAAGAAGAGTCTCCTGTAGCTGGACTAAGCTTCCTTCTCTGACATTTGGCAAGAAACAACTTCCTTCAAACTCATGGGCAATTGCATTCCTTATAGCTTTTGCAATTGTTGTCTTGCCTATTCCGGATGTCCCCCATATCCCAACCATGCGATGACCATTCCCACCAACATCTAAAAGCTTTTTCACATCTTGTACATGAGACTGAATTCCAACTGGGTACTTGGCCACATTCCAATATGTGGGTACTCGGCTTAAGATTCCATCAACAATGTTGTTGATAAATGTAGCTTCATAACTGCCAGTTTAACCAAATTAGACACATTTAATGAATCAAATTTAAACATCCAACCACTACAGTTGTATATTCTTACAAAAGAATATTTTTCTTTAATGAGTAACAATTAAATGTAACCAAAGTAAAAAAGAAAAAGAAATTAAATTAACTTGAAAAAGATAGATAACCCTGAAATATAGAATCAAGACACTAAATTTAACATAATGCCCTACAACTATCGAAAATATAAAAATACAAAAATAAAAAAATAAAATAAAAATAAAGATCTTCTCCCTACAATTTTATATTTCTACAAAAGGATACTTTTCTTTAATAATGAGTAACAATTAAATGTGTAACAAACAGTAATGAGAAAGAAGAGAGAAAAAAAAACTTGAAAATGATAAAGATAGAAACGTACTGTCCCTCCTTGAAATGCCATCCAGACAAATTTGCTGCTTCCTTAAGAGCTCTCCTCCATTTGAGCACTTTCTGCTTATCATCCTTGAATTTGCTTTCATGGTGAACAAATGCATCACCATAACTACTTCTTTGGTGTCGTACATCTGAGGGATCCACCTTGTAAAAAATGGGCAAAACTATTTGTTGGTTTGATTGTTTACATTGAAGGATCTTGACAAGTTCATCCAAGCACCACCTCGAAGATGCATAGTTTTCAGAGAATACAATGAGAGAAATTCTTGATTCTTCAATTGCTTTGACAAGGGCTGGCGATATTTCTTCTCCTCTTACAAGCTCTCGATCAATGAAGGTGTAGATGCCCTTATCACACAAGGCCTTGTACAAATGATCTGTAAAATTGGTGCGTGTATCCTCACCTCTAAAACTCAAAAACACTTCATATGAAAAAGAAGAAGAAGAAGAAAAGACTGGTTGAGTTGTCATAGGGGGCAGATCTGAAGGAAGTTGAGGTTTCCCGAAATCAATTGGCAATGGGGGAGTAACCCAACTCCCCATAAACCTGAATAAGAATTTGAACATTGAAGAATTGAAGAAAAAGCAGAGAGAAACCTTATCTGATTTTGTATTGATTTTCTTTGAGAGAGTATACAAATTTGTATATTAACGGATTGTATGATTGAGAAAAATCAACACAAAACCTTTCATGTTTTAACAAGTCCACGTCCAAAGAGCTCCCTCTAAAAGTCTTGTGCAGGGTTCATTTTCACTTCCTGAAGCCGCGTGGGGAAAGTAAGGTAGCGTTTGGGAGTGCTTAAATTTTTTAAAAAGCAGCTTTAAAAAAAAAATTCAGTACTAAGGTGTTTGGTAAACATCAAGAATCAGCTTTTTAAAAAAATTGCGGTCAGTGACCGCTGTTTTTCCAAAGCAGGGAGAAGGCAGCTTTCAAAAGCTGCTTAAAAAAAAATTTAACCGGTGGTTTTAATGAAATTTTGGCTTTCCCATAATGCCCTCATTTATTTTTCAAATGGACAGTCCTTGTCCCTCTAATCACACAACTCCCATCTGCACTCCTCGAATCAAACTACACAGAGAAAGGAGAAGAAGTTAAAATTTTCCAAAAAAAAAGTGCAGAGAGAAAGGAGAAGAAGAAGCCCCATCAAATCAAAGAAGAATTCATACTCAAGCGAAGAAGAAGCCCCTACAACCTTGAAGAATAGTTCAAAATCTAAGATTTGAGAGCAAGAGAAAAACGGAGAAGTGAATAACTCTGTATAACATATAAATTATACAATAAACGATAAAGCAAACCTTACCTTCAATGATTTTACCAACCACCAAACCATGCAACCACAAAAGATCCAAATCCCAGCTTCCCCACTCCGTCATGTCCAGCTAAAGAAAATCAAACCCCCAGCTTCCCACCAAAATAAAATCCAATCTTACAATCCCACTCACATACATAGAGCAAAGGACCATGAACTCAAACCTCTCTTGATCTGGGTTTGGATTGAGTTTTGGGTTCTAAAATTCTTGATCTGGGTTGTTTTTTAATCGGTGTTTTGAGGCGATGGAGAAGAGAAGAGGAGAGAGAGAGAGAGAAAGAGATGGGGTGGGTACGGGGATGGGTTTGTTTGTTTTTAATTTTAATTTTGTATATATATTTTTATATTTTATTAATATAACAATATTTTTTAGATTAAATTTTTTGATAAAAAAGTGTAAATTAAAAAAAGAAAAAAATTTATGTCGTAAAGTTGGTTTTTTTTTTTTTAAGTAGAAAAAGAATGAAGAAAAAAATAAATAGTTTCATCTTCATGTCTTTTTTTGTCATTATGTACACTAAAAGCACTTCTGATAAAAATTTACCAAACACTTTGACTACTCACAGCAATTTTTCGTATACAGTTTACCAAACGCCTAACTGTTTTTTTTCACAGCTGATTATTATCGCAGCACAGCAGAAGCAGTTTTTTTTAAAAGCACAGCAATGCCAAACTAGCTCTAAAGTCGGTCCCTCAATTGCTCTGGGAAAAGTCATAGTTGTAAACAAATCCTAATTATTGTAGTAGAAGAAAAACAGGCCCATGAAATTAAACACTTGTATTTGTTTTCCTCATTGCAACACTGCGGAAAGTACAACTTTCTTATAATTATGACTAGAATAGGTGAGATGCCCACAAGCATGACCATGTTTTCTTTGAAAATTCTTCTAACAAACCATGATGATTTTTATTAGAAAAACGCCATTTTTGTTAGAGATTTAATAGATATTTTTCTTAGTGAAAGGAGCTAACATATGATATCTGTGACATTATGTTTTTTACACAAGTTTTGACACAGATTTTCACACCATTGGATTAGCCTTCTATCTATGAATGAGAGTAAATTTGACATGTCAAGTTTAGTTTTTTTCTTTTTTTAATAAACACTCATTAATTTTATATTGTTATAAAACTAAAGAAATTGAGGAGAGAATTTAGAGAGTTCAAATAGCGATAGGAATGCTCTTCTGATATTTTCATTATTTCTCTTCTTTCTTTCTATATTCTCTATCTAGCTCCTTACAGAATGAGAATGAAGCCATAGTTTTTATAAACAAAACTTTGGCTAACTATTCGGTAAATAGAAAACTCATGAAGGTGTGTGAGATTCCCTTCTAATCATGTGGGCTCCACTCAAGACTTTACAACGCTCCCCCTTGGAGACCACTATGGAATATGCCTCGTTAAAACCTTGCCAGTAAAACCCAGTGGGACAAAAACTGGTCGAAGGAAAAAAGAGTACATAACCATGTGTAACATAAAATTCTGTGTATATTGACGTGCGTGCGACACTGCCTCGTTAAAACCTTGCCAGGAAAAACCCAGTGGGATAAAAACCTGGACGAAGGAAAAAGAGTACAATGTGTGAAGGTCTTTAGTGACAGCACGCTCCCCCCGATGCTTGGCAAAATATCTTTAAGCCGTACTGTTGATCATCTTTCTGAATGTCATAGTTGACACTGCTTCTGTGAGTCAATCTTGTAATATTGTTGGATGCTTCCCCTGAATAATATCTCCCCCTGATATCTTCATGACTATCTTTCTAGAGAAAAGATCTTTCGGATTGAATGAATGATGTAGCCACCAATAATTCATGTAATTGAGTAAGTAAATATATTCCCAGTGAGCTATATCTATGTAAATCATAGAAATTTCCAAAGTCCGCTTATCTAACAAAACCTGGGCTATTTGTAAGTTCACTTGAAAAGAATATGCCTGTATATGGTGTTATGCGGAGATAGCATCAAATATGCCTCACATCATCCCAAAGTGGTGGTGATGGAGCTGAGCTCAATCTGGAAAATACAATGTCCGGTTCAGTATATTTCCGGAAAATCATTTAAGTGCTCAATGGAGAATCCACACAAAATGCTTCAATACTTTCTTAGTATAAGCAATAATCTCATTGGCATAATGCTCGATCTTCAAGCCGAGACAAATGTTACTTGGACTTTTCAGGAGTTTTAACCAAGTATTAACTCTTCATGAGTTTTGATCAATTATCAACTCTTTAAGAGCTGTAATGGGTTGCAACCATATCGTAATTAGTGTACTCACTGAGGCAATTTATACATATTAGTATTGAGTACAAAATTTGTGCTTCAGGCACACGTCCTTCAAGGACTTGCTTCATGCAATTTCAATCCTTCATGGATTTAAGAGATTATACTTCATGACACATTATATAGCTTTATATCCAGCTATTTGTTTTGCTTATACATCTTTAGGGAATCACTTCTGGCGATATGCTCCGTGCATTTAATAACCCTTAAAGATAATATGTTGGTCTCCGTAAATGTGCAATAAGAAGGCACAATTGCATCTGTAAATATGGAGAAACCCAACATTCCTTGTTTCTGCCAGAAACATTGTGTCATACAAAATGGGTATATTCCCATTTATTCTGAACACCCAAGTATATCTTTCAGTATAACATCTTTTGGGGTTCGTACTATGGGTTTGTTCTTTCACGTTCATTCTCATCTGTAATGGAATTGCCTCTTTCCATTTTGGCCAATGATATTGTCGACATTTAATAATAGAACGTGGTTCCAATCAACACAGCCCATTGATGATTTGAGTAGCTACTCCAAAA